AAAAGACTTACAATTTTAAAAACGATGCCAACAGAAATATATAATTTTTGACACGGCCGACAGCATGCATGGCTCGAGTGTTTTAATCGATTTTTTTTTTTTCGTTTCCAATGACACTGAACAGTTATTGTAACGGGAAACCATCACGAGACACTTAAAAGGTTCTTCTCGACAGGGGCATTCAACAACGAACTCGACAGATTTAAACCCATTAAAACCGTCTGTTGGAACAATACATTTAGGCATAAGAAAACCACACCGTCGCGACACGACAACATACGCATATTATGTGGTTTTTTAAACATAAAATTGCTACGCATCGTAAAGATTTGAGTTGTCCACGATCGTGTCCAAGGACGTTTACAATATTTACCGATTATGATAATATAATTTCATTTCATTTAAACCTCCGATTGTGATAATTATATGTCACCGTTGTTCTACCTACTCAATTTTAGATATATATTTCAAAGATAGTGACAGCAATAAGCTTACAGCGGTTTGGCCCAGAAAACTCTACTTTTACTATGAATAAATATATGAACAATACTGACAAACACATTTAATCTAGCCCACGTATTATTAAATTCTTCAATTTATTAATATCCATATCCATCCAGAAAACAATTTATCACCAACAATGTTTGTAACAAACGAATGGTCGTGTAGGCATATAACAGTTTAATTCAAGAAAACGTGCGTCAAAAAGGATAAACTATAATGTGTTCTAAAATGTCATGAAATTTATTTTTTTGAAATATTTCATGAAACTTTCATGAAATATTTTATTTTTATGAAAAATAATAAAAAAATCATTTTAATTTAAAAATAGAGTAGAAATGTTATTGAAATATTTCTTACATACCTAATACATTATGCAAATTACATAATTTTCATATAAACATACTTCAAAAAGTTTCAAAACACCTGAATTACCTATAACAATTTCTTAATTTGTGTTTATTTAATATTTTATAATTACTAATTAGATATAGTTATAACCAGAGTCCCTATTATAAGTATCTATGAGTTAAAATCTTTTATAGTAATCTCATTTGAATTCAAATAAAAAAAAAATTAATTTCAGAAAAGTTCAGAACTTAAAATATATAGGAACACGGTACATAAAACACTTTCTATTATAGATATAAAAGGAAGGATGGAGGTTCAGTATTTAATAATTATTGATATGATTTATTGGTTGGGAACACAATGTAGATAAGATAATGATAAACATACTATATACCTATATTCTCTATATTACTGTGAACCGATAATCACTAATCAGCTCTGAAATCAGTGTAACCATCTAGTGATGATTTTGTCAAACATAACAAAAACACAAAACTAAAAAAAAATTAAAATAATATATTTTTCAATATTTCAAGAAGGCTGAAACTTTCAAGTTTGAAATATTTCGAAGTGAAAATTTCATGTGAAATATTTCATACTCATAACCCTAATAATGTGTGAATCAGTTGTAAAGCTCGAAAGTTATAGGAGCTAAAAGGTGAAAATATTCACAAAAAAATGCACGAAAAAGTGTAGTAAAAATGTAACGAAAAAAAAACATTTTATGTCATTAATTTGCACTAAAATAAATGTAAGACATGCGAAAATAAATGTATTACATTTAAAATTCGTGGAAATCTATTTGCCATTTTATTATTTTATTGAACGGTAAAAAAAATTGTTGAAAAAGTATATTCTAAAAGATGATGGTAGACGGTGGAATATTAGTGCGATAGAGATTAAATGTGCCCATGGCACCATCGTCATTCAACTAATAGTCGACTGCGACGATAAGAATAAATACTTACATTGAATGGTATTGAGTTTTATGTACAATATTCCACAGCTTGAGAAAGAAAAATATGAATTCGGTTTTAGAAAATATTAAATAGGTACTCATAGTATATTGCGTATGAAATTCAAGAAATATGCACTTTTCCCCTAAAATGTAGGTCAAAATATGCAAGACATGCATTTTAAATTTTTAAGCTCACTATCGGATAGATCGGATTTCTAGCTAATCTGCTATTGGTCGAGAGAAAATAGAACAATATGTGATCCCTCCAACTCCCGACCCCTAAGATATGATAACACGATAAAGATGGATTTTTATGTCAACAACATTAATCGAAGTGGGAATTTCGAAAAAGGGCGATCTCGAGTTGTGATAAAAATAGATTTTTACGCGTTTTTTTCCATTTAAGCATATTGACCGATATTTTATGAGCGAAAGGGCCCACATCTGTTTTCCACTGTGATGGAAAAAACATTTTTTTTTTTTTCAATTTTAAATCACTATAACAGTCCTCGTATAAATTTCGAAAATGACTCATCTCGGAACACTAAATGAATCACTTTTCCAATGAAATTTCACTTCAAGAATATTATATTACGTAGTCATAACATTAAGTAATAGTCCGTAATTTTAGAAAAAAAAATTGGTGCTTACAATAAAAAAAAAAAATTAAAAGGAAAATCATCGAATTCTCAATCTAACTAAATCGTCTACTAGGATTTTCAATTTAGTACCAAATTTAAAGAATAGTGATTGTCAAATCTATAGCTGTGACTTTATATCGTCTACAAACCGTTCGGAACATCGAAATAGGTATGTTACAATATATTTTCGAACAAAACGAAAAGCTTTAAAAAACGGCCTACAAACAATGTAAACAGAAAGTACCATAAAATAAGTCTGTCGCTTGTTTTTTTTTCTACAAAACAATATGCCCTACAATCGGGGGTAGGCGTTACAAGTAAATTGTCACATAACGATATTGGATTATAAATGGGATGTCGTAATCAATACCAGTAAATAACGAACGGATGTGAAAATGTAAAAGTACAGAACAACTCAATCACACAATTTTTTTTTTACCGGAAGAATAAATATTGAACAGCGTACCATTTTTTTGGTTTTAGATGAATTAGTTTTTCACGAAAAACTTGGCATGAGCCTACTATGACGTACAGTAAACCTAATTTCAGGGTAGGAATCCAAATTTTAAGCACAAACTATTTATCCGTTCGTAATAATACCTTTTGTCTGAGATAAAGTTATATCAACTGTACTAGCTTAAACTTTGAAATCGTAAATTCGATTAAACATCTAAGACTATAGCTGGTAACTATATTAACGTTTTTGATATTTTACCCCTCCCCCCCCCAAAATTTCGTTCAATACTGTGAGCAAGTGTTTTATGTTAAATTTGGTAGTGATTGACATATTATTATGGACCATTTGCAGGTGATCAAGAGGTTGAGCAATCGTGACCAAACTTAACGGAAATTATTTTATTAATATATTTATAATTATAATTTATTTATTTTACCATTTATAATTATTTTGTTCATCACACTTTGTTTCTTTTAAGAAATAATTCCTCGCCAAGTAAATAAATTATTGAAACAAAATAAGTTTATTTAAATTCGATATACTTTGCTTTAGTTCATGATATCATATCTTTATAGTGCTTAAAGATCATATATTTTTTTACTTTGCCATTTTTACACGTAGTTTACGACAGGTTTTTCTTGTGACATTGGCAACGCTAATGCGACGACGACGGCTACTCTGATTCTGAATTCAATATAAATTTGAAATTTCCATTAAAAAGTTAAAAATTTACCATTTATAACTTAATTTCTGAAGGTACGATTTTAATGATTCTTACAAAAGCACGTTCTAGGCTATATTTCTGATGTTTTGTAGTTCACTGGTAGTTAATTGATGCATTAGACAATTAGTTATGTCGTATAACAAATTTACCTGTATTTTAAGCAGTTTAAACAGGCAACTACTGCTTCGATATACTATCGTGCAGCTATTATTGTTTTTTACTTGGCTCGCGCCACGACCACTAATCCTCTGTAACTGTTTGTTATCCTCAATAACAAGACGTGTAAATGTAAAAAGCTTCTGCTTAGCGAAGCTTTACGGAGGGTTTTTCTCTTGATAATAATATTATGAATGAAACCTCTATGACAGCCACTTCAAAGAGTTCGCTCACTTTGTAAACCGAATTAAGACCATATAGTAATATTATTATTATGTGTGTGTTTTTTTTTATTTTATTTTATCGAAAACCGTATCGATCTCTTCCGCGGTTGTTAATCATTCAACAGAACGCGGACAATAATATAATACAATAAACAACATATTTCTATACCGACACCCGGGTAATATAATATCGTTATACAACACCGTCGTGGTATCTCGAAACGCTATCGGAAACCAAACGCAATAAATAAATTATTTATTCGGATGCAGCCGACGAAATTTACGACTCCCTAATTCGTTTGATCCGCATAATTTGCAGAGCGTGATCGCTTCTCGTATAATATCTGGCAATTTAAATAGAATTTTCTCAGACAGTAATGTTATCGACATTTTTGGATGCATTTTTTTTATGGACGCAATATATTTTCAAGTCGTTACGAGCAAAAGAAAAAAAAAATTAAATATTAATATATTACTTGTGTTAAAAGGGCCAATGTCTTTAATGATGTATGACCAAATTAGATTTGACATTGGACTTTTTGACAATAATCGATAAACTAATAATTGATTTATTATGGTCCTATGTTGACATTTTCCACATATTATCTACAGTCACAACATTGGCCATTTCGAAATCAATTAATAAAGTTTATAAATTTAAAAGATACATTATGCTCAATAGAATATTATTTTTAGGTTTTCATATCAAAGTCAAGTTCTTTAATTATTAAAAACTGTTTATTTTAAATTTTAGTTTTTGGCCAATGTTAAACCAAAGTAGTTTTATTATTTTTTCTGGAGAGCCAATGTCAAACTAAAACGTACATATTTATACTTAATAACAAAATTAGAGTCATACAATAAAACAAAAAAAAAAATATGATTAAGTAACCGAATATTTAGAGTTCCAACGTCAAATTTAAGATTTTTATGTACATTTTAAAAATTGGCCAATTTAATATTTTAAATTCCTGAATATTGTAAAAAATTACCTGGGCCCTTCTTGCACCGAGCCAAAGAAATAATATTTCGCTAAACTCCGAAAACCACGACGTCTGCTCGGTGGAATTAATATTATTTTTGGGTTCGGTCGAGAGAAGAAGCAAAAAGACTCACCAGATTTTCCATTTATGTCCATAGCCTTGAGGTTCCTGGCCTCAATGATGCCGAGTGTCAGATTGTTGGTCATCGGGTTGTAAGACAACGAAGTCAACAAATGTCCGCACTTGTCCTTTAAAGGAGCCGTGAGATCCTTCCAAAATACCGGTTTCGCCGTAAAGTCAACCTAAAAAGGACGAGACAAAAATAAATTCCAACTCAAGATAATATTTATATATTATTATTGCACATGTTTAAAAAAACCAACACTCGCACAGAGTCCCCCACTTGAGCACAATGTATACAATTTCGGTGGAAAATCCTTTGACGTAGTGTTTAGTAACATAAACCGACTGATAATCGTAACACGTTAATAGTTTTACTATTTCAGCATACGAAAATTATTAGTAATTTATCAACAGTCTCATCGAAAACCGATATGTATCAATATTAATTTTTTTTTTTAAATTTTTTTTTCCTATCGGGAGCCACTACAAACGACGATTGTGGTGTTTTTTAAATGTATACATAGTATTCACACGGAAAAATTATGGGACATTACATTTTAAACTGTGAAAAAAAGAAGAAATCAAAGGGGGAAACAACCTTTAGGTAGTCATAAGTGCATATTATGAAAAATCCACATAAATAGATTGACGTTAAATCAGTTAATACCGTTTTGATATTTTTATAAATATTTTTGAGCTGCTGTCTGAATCGGCGGGATGAGTAATGCTAGAGATGTAGAATTGACTTAAAAAAAATATCCGTCAATTTACCAATTATGCTGTAAAAAGGGTAAAATATAATCTAAGGTTAAATAATACAATTTCTTAGAGCCATCTTTTTTATTAGTAAATACGATTGTCATTTCTATTGTTTTATTCTCGGCGAATTTAGTTCTTTCTAGTAATTACAATAAAGAACTAATAATGGATCTATTGTTCTGCACCAGTACATATTATGAATATTTAATGATTAAAACTAATTTATCAAAATTAACAAAGCATTTTCTTTATTTTTTTATGTTCAAATGTCAAAACATTTATATTTATTTACTTTTAGCCATTACTTATATACAGTGTCGACAAAATAGAAAATATGATTAGTATGATAATTATTGTGTTGGTATTTATTATCAGTTGATAAAAAATATATATCATTGCAATTTATTCGGGATATGCGTTTTTGATTGAATATGATTTGAGGGATCACGCAAAATTTTTTGGGTAAAATAAAATTTCGTAAAATGTAAGTTTAATTTTTATATTTATAGAAATAACCGTAAAAATTTACCAATTAAATTTACAGCACTCACACCTCTCCTTTTGGAGGTTGTCATAAAAATTAATTATTCTAGTTCATGTGATCGTTTTGACCGCGAGTACCTATTATATTCCACCCAAAAATAACCTATTGCAGGTCTGGTTTCGATCTGATAATGAGATTTCAACCTAGACCTGACCTACTCAAGAGTTTTGGAAATGGCTGAGGCGAGTAATAGTTTCGAAATCATAAATACTAGGCAGCTAACCAAACACTAGTCTGATGCAGATCTTAGAACATGTTTATTAGTCAAAAGAAACATATTTGTTGGTATCAGCAATCGATCCGAAAGATTTTTAGTATTTCAGTACATAGGATTTTAAAATGTCGTGCAATTTATTTGTTTGATAGTATATTTCATGAAACTCTAGTAAAATATTAAATTAATGTGAAAAAAGGTGGGAAAGTGGATGTCACTCTGCTGTACTGCAGGTTACAAGTGGGTCACTGTTTAATGGATGGTATTAAATTTGAATTCAATGATATAATATCATTTTATAAGAAAAACGATTCTGAGAGGAGACTGTATGTCAGTCTAGTTATAAGACATTAAATACTTATCTATGTTATTAAATTATATGGAATTTATGAATAAATTATTCATTGCCCCTTAAAATATACACAGTCTTATCATTGAGCATACTTCTTATTCCTTATAATATGATGGTAGATTGTATGGATAGACCATAATATTTTGATTTTTCAGTTTCATATATTTTTAAATTACAACAAAAAACCAAGATCGTTAATATTGATTTTAATATGTAATTTTGTCCAAATATGAATTTAAAATGTCTGTAAAAAATAACTGTGCTCATATATTTTTTAGATTTTTTGGCTACAGTATGAACTATTTATGAGAATCATTTTTTTAAATTTTCAATCCTTAGCTATAAAAACTGAACATTTTATAATTTATTAATTACGATGATTGATAATTTTCGAGATTTTGATAAATTTTGTCAAAATGTGATCTTTAAATGCTTATAAAAAAAAATTGTGCATATGTATTTTTAATATTTTTCAATTGCTATTGTAACAATATATCAGGAGCCTTGAATTAATTTTTTACACTTTTTGGCACAACAGATATAACTTAATTGATATTTATAGAAAAAAAAAACTAAAAAAATTGAAAACTGAAAATGTCCGTAAACGGCTCAAAAAGAGTCAAAATATTTTCAAAATTGTATGGTGTATAGGAAATTCTAATATAAACATTCAGTGAAATTTTCATGTATCTACAGTAATTCGTTTTTGAATTACAGCAAAAAAAGGAAATCGCCACATGAGAAATCGAGTAAATATCCAATGTTGTAAAAATTTGAATTTCAAACGCCCATAAAAATTTAATTTGACTTTCTTATAGAATTTTTTTTTTGATAAATGTAGGAAATCTTATAAGGAATCTTGTACTACATTTTCATATCTTAGATTTAAAAAGAAAAATTTTTATGAATTTCTAACTTGAAATAATTTGCAAATTTTCGTGATTTTTCCATATTTTGTCATTTTTTGAACTTTAAATGCTTAAAAAAAAAAAACTGTGACTAACGATTTTTAATATTTTTCATCTGTCTTTGAAACAATATAGTAGGAGCCTTGTATTAAATTTTCAAGTATTTTTACTCAACAAAAAAATTTTTATTGATATTCATAAAAAAAAAAAACTAATAAAATTGGAAACTGAAAATGTCCCTAAACAGTTCAAAATAAATCCAAATATTTTGAAAATGTTATCGTGTATAGAAAATGCAAATATAAACAACTACTGAAAATTTCATGTATCTACGGTCATTTGTTTTAAAGTTACACTAAAAACCAAAATCGATTTTCTCGAAAACAGATTTTGCGTAAAAATTCCCGTTTTTCCTTAATTTTTCTTTTGTTTTTCCCGGCGCTTTTGAAAACTACTGGGAAATTTAAATTTTGACCTCCTCAATGCACCAACGATATTCACTTTCCAAGAACAAGATACTGAAGTTGAAAATCGAAGCATTATTTCGACTACTTATCGTGTACACACACAAAAAAAATTTAAAAAAAATTAAAAAATTAAAAAATAAAAAAATAAAAAAAACACACATCATTGTAAAACCAATACATTCATCGTTCCACTCAGAATCTAAAAATGTTTTTTTATAATGTACACGGGTGTTTATGAAATTATAGTCATACACGTTCGGAAAAAGAGCATTTTTTAAAAGTCGGTTAATCGTATCGAATACTAATAACCAATAAATAAACAATAGCCGATTGTAGGGCCGAATTGATAAATCGCGGGCATGGAATCAAAGGGTTCTATGTGACAATATCAAAATTGTTCATTAGAGCGATTTTAAGATTCAAAAATTAAAATATCATATTTTTGCCCAAGTGATTTTGAAAATCAAAAAATCCACAAACTTCCGTTCCATCGATTTATTAATAAGTTATGCAAAAATAAATCCTTGTAAATACTCAAAATATTAAATAACTTTAAAACTCCCAGTTAAGCCAACAAAAGGTTCTACTGATAGACCATTTAAATGTTGACAAATTTGTTCCCAATTTTATTTTTTAAAAATAAAACGTTCAATCGATAGAACATAATATTCATTCCAAACAAACTAATTGATTTGTTTTAACTTAATTTTAAATATGTACTTTTTTTGTGCATTATTATAGGTATTGAAATGATTATCTTGGGTAGGTACCTATTTTGGTATTTTAGTACGGCGGCGTGTGAAATGTGCCAATTTTTATAAATAACAACAAACAAAGTATGTGTATTAGATAACACTTTTTGATTTAAATATAAATTTAAAAAACAAAATGTTCTATCGATGTATCTAACACATATTGTTTTTATATAAGTCACTTAGAACCTTTTGTTTCTGGTAACTTTTTAAATATGAGATAGATACATTTTTTTCTAAGACTAAAAAATAGAGAAAACTAATTCTTGACTGAACAGATAAAAAAACCACTTTTGAATTTTTTTTGATAAAGAACTTTTTGATTCCAAGTCCACGAAATTATGCATTCACCGATGATATACCAGAGTTGAGATGTTTAAAACATTTTGTTTTAAACACTTGTTTAAAACATTTTGTTTTAAACACTTGTTTAAAACATGTTTTAAACATCTAAATTGATCAAACATGGTTTTGTTTAAAACGTTTAAAACAAATGATTTAAACAACATAAAAAAAACAGCTAGTTTAAAACAGAAAATCATAATTTATGCGCATATAACTTATTATTTGTAAGTTCGTACTGGCAACTCCTATTTATTATTATTTTTTAATTCATAAACAAATTTAAAATTTATAAAATGTATAATGATAATTTTACTTATTTAAATTACTAACACTTCAATGGTTATATAATATATTATTTCTGTAGTTCTGGGTAATATATTTATTAATTATTTATTTATTAGAAACTTCACTATAATATTTCCAAATGTCATCACGTCTTCGTCCCGTGAACATGTGTTCTATCTTTTAAGTTTTATTTTGTTTCACACTGTCGCTAATGTAGTATTGTAGTAATGTCAGATGCAGAAGAATAACTCAATAATATCAAAATTAAATTTCATTGATATCATATCATATTATTATTTAATATTTTTTACCTTTATCATATTTTATAATCGGAAATATTGTGGCGCAAACCCACCAAAATTTAAAATAGTAAATACAGTAATCAGTATTCTTTATCACGATGTAGATAACAGATCAGTTCTTTATCATCAATCATTATCAAAATATTCAAAAACGATTTTTAAGTGTAAAACCGATAGCCGTGGTTAAATTACACGTCAAGTTATAAAAAAATTATGATATTAAATTATTAAATAAATGATTTTTTTTTTAAATAAATAACATATTTTGTTTTAAACTCGATTAAATCATGTCTTAAACATGTTTAAAACAGCTGAAAAAATCATTTTAAAAAAACATGTTTTAAACAAAAAAATCATGTTTTAAACGATTAAAACAATTTTTTTGATTTTTTTAAAAAAATCATGTTTTTAATCAACTCTGTGATATACCTATGTATTATCATTTATATTTAATTTATAACCATTGACCTAGTAACTCGTAAGCTTTGGTTAATAAGTCTCATTCATTTTCAGTGTTTCCTGTGAGTAATCAATAATAAATTCCGACATTCTATAACCGAAATATTTTTCTCAATTTCATTGAAGCCAAGAAGAGAGAAATTCTCAATTTTTAAAAATTTTTAATTCAGTTCCTATCAATAGCTATAAATTGAAAGTTGTATATTATATACGTTTTCGTGCTCTGAATAATAAACTGTAATTCACTTATCGTTGATTATTATTATTATTATTATTATTATGTTAACCGTAAATAGTTTTATTATTTTTTTGGCAGTTATCGATTCAATTAAATCGTTTGTTTACTTTTTTTTTACTCGCCCATAGCGTTATGTTACTTTGTTAATTGTTATAAATTATTATTGTGTTTATACAAAGGAAAACTTGTCTCGTTTCAGTTGGTTTTTCTCCGAGTACACCACCTAATAAATATTTTTAATTATAGTTATTATTGTTTTATTTTTCAATTGAATAGAGAGACAAATAAAGTACTGTTTCTTTATTGAAACTCCACGGAATGTGGTTACAAAAATTAATTTACTTGGTACCTAAGTTAAGAGTGTTTTTATAATATAATAGTCGAATACCCCTAATTTTTTTAATTAGTATTTTGTAAAATTGTGTTTATGTTATTTCATCTGAGACATGTATTGAAAATTCGTACAATACCTTATTTCAGAAGTTAATGGTTTTTTTTTTTTAATCAGTTTCGTTTATTTATTTAGTTCTTTATAAGTTGGTAGAATTAATTTATTTCAATATTATATTTGGACTATTAAATTACACTAATCAAATGTAAATAAAAAAATGTTCTCCTCACCGCTATTTCCATATTATCGTCCGTGTTTCGGGGAACAATTATTATTATTTTTTTTCCCATCTGATTTCTATCTGATTCCTTATTAGCTTTAAAAGTCAATGTTACACGTGTTTGTAATATAATGACTACCAGTGCAATGTGCAGGATTTTTTTATATGAGATAGGGAGAGTCGTACGTTTTGGATTTTTGGCCGAATTAGTCCTCGCGAAAATAAATCAGCTCACACAGAAAATTGGATTCATGATAATATTGTATACACGGAAATCAATTCGGTAATTTTTTCCTTACGATGTGACACATAATATTATTTAACATATTTTTGGATTTTGATTTTGAGGTGATGACTTGTTTTTAAAATTTTTTTATTTCAGCGTTACACTTTGAAAAAATGTCATTGAAGTTCTCGCCAAGACGTGACATCAACAAACTCGGATCTTAAGCTACAGTTTACGAATCGTACTTTTCAACATATTAGAATGAGATACTAATATTATTACGATCGGTTGCACGCAAATCTGTTTTGAAACAAATCACTTCAACTATAGGTATCATACAGTGTGTAACAGGAAAACGTGTTGCAAAAATTATGAAAATTAGTCAGTGAATAATTTAAAAATATACTCGTGTCAAGAAATTCCCTAAAACGATATTTTGAAAAAAGTTATTAGGTTCTAAATAGACTTACTCAAAAATTTTAAAAAGTAACTACTTTCTTAGTTCAATTTTTCACCAAATTGGGTATTTTGAATTAAAAAAAAAAAAAAAATTGAATCGAAATTGAATTAATTTTCAATTTAAAGAAAAATATATTTTATTTTTATAATAAATGTGTAGCATCTCAAGTTACTATAATATACTATGTATGAAAAAAAAAATAAATATTGATTGGAACAAAAGTTATTTCATCCGTCAGGTCTCCCTGTTACACCCTTACAATACACTCTACAGCACTGGCTTCATGCTGAATGCTGGTCTGGGGCTTACCTTTTTTTGGAAATACTTACTTTTCAATTTAAATAAATTGATAATTTGGTATTTTTACGATAATCTAGTTTCAATAGTGAAAAAACAACAGAATTACAAACGACCACCTACGAATTTAATAATTTCACTAAAATGAAATAAAATTTGAAAATAAAAACAGCCACAGACCCCCTAACATCAATGCTTACTACCAATTGGAATCACGGCTCAAATGTATTATAATGCTGCACCGACTACACTCAGAGATTCCCAGGAACACAACTTGACGTTAATTTCCGGGAATTAAATCTCGGGAATCGTACGGAAGTTTTGGGAAGGAATTATAGTTTCGCGCTAAATAATCGCTTCGTATTTCATTTAAACGTTCCGGTTTTTTTTTGCTAAACTTCCATTGGAACAATGCACTTTGACCGCTTAAAATATAGTACACAAAAAATTAGGTCTCGATTGGGTTAATACCTGTAAGTACTTATTATACTATTGTGTACACGTGAATCAATGGGCCCCATTGTAATAATCTGATTTTTTTTATGACGTTAATATAAAAAAAACATCCTAACAAAAAAAAATATCTGTTAACGTTGTTTGTACTGAAACAATATGATGAATATTAATTGATAACGGTTAATAGAAATTAAATTTAAATTTAACGACACTTTACGAATCACATTTTTTTGGCATGTCGAAATTTCAACGAAGATTTTCGAGACATTTCTCGGTTTAGATACAGTCGAGGACCCAGAACAGTTCCTACTTTTCGATATTTTAGCTTTTAACTTGCAAACAGAGAAAACACAATCGGAGATATACTGTAATATCGGCGCCTAAGAACCATCGTGTCCAATCTCAGTTTTTCCAACTTTTCAGGTTAAACAAAAAACTGTATTTTTTTTTTTGTTAGGAATTTTGAATAACCTATTTGATTAATTATATATTATAATAAAATTAAAATTAAAATAAATTCAAGATGAATGAAATGTTTTTTTTTTATTTATTCTATAATTTTATTTAATAAAATTGTGCATAATAACTACTGTCAATCACTAAGTTATTTGACTCCCTTACCGACCAGTGGCCTCATGCAAAGCCATAACTTTATTACCCATATGGCAAGTTCAAAGTTCACCAAATTGGTAATACACGTGATGTATACCCTAATATAAAGAAATAATGAAAAAAAAAAAATTCAGGACTGAAAGGGTTAACTCTAAAACGTTTCATCGTATTGTCAATAATAATAATAACATTAGTAATACTAATTCCATCGAGTTGTTGGCTGCTGAGGGCTCTCTATTATTAGTTCCGATATTTTTAGATTGGCCTTGATACCACTGATAACAACTTTAGATAGGCCATGATACCACTAATAAAAATATTTGATAGGCCATGATACCGGTAATTACAAACGATATTAGATGGGCCATGATGACATTTGGAATTTTCACAGCGAACCTTCCGGTCAAACATCGAAACTAATCACTTGTTCTCACGCGTTTCGAAAATATGAATCTATAGATATATAAAACACATATTTGAATATTTTGAGGGTCTTTAGCCATTATATAGATACAATAGGTATATAAACCTTGACACATTGGAAAAACTTTTGATCTCATCAATATTTTAATTTTTGTTAATATACGCTTGCGGTACAAGTCCGGTAAGAACATTTTTTTTTTTAATACTTACTGAAAATAAAAAAAAATTTAATTTTTTTTGGAAAAATTCAAAATAGCCCATCTATATGGCAATTCTAATTTATAGAAAATGTTTGACTGTAAAAAATATTTTTATAGTAGGTAGTTTATTTTTTGAAATATTTTTTTGACGACGCAAACACTTTTTTTAAATATTTAGTTTTAGAATTTTCAAACATAAGTAATTCTTGAATTAATTATCATCCCTATAATTTTCATATATTTTTTTTTTCACACGTTTAACTTCTATCGATTTCTCACTTTTAATTTGTCTTGTGGATATTTCACGGGTATCGATACGTTTTGAGGAACCCTGGCCGTAGGTACAATTGAAAAATGCTCAAAAATAACGGGCATATGGAGTAATTAATTTTGTTTTCGTTAAAAATGTTCTTAAATTAGTTTAAATAGCTATCAACATAGCTCAACTCATTGAACAAAAGACGAAAAAACATCTAAATTTAACAAAAAAAATATTATTTACTTTGCCCGACAGTGAAGTATTATAACCTCGAAAAGTGCTCGGCAATGAAAAGATTGAACTCGGGGTAGTATGAGCGGCTCTCGAATAATTATTATTTTTTCTCGTTCCGCGACAACGACATAATATAATATGATATAATATATATTTTGTTATTATTTCAAACACGTCAAGGCGCTTGACGTTTCGCCCTGATGCACTTACGTTGTTCAACTCGATGTATGTCTCGCCAATGGAATCGTCTCTGGAGAACCGATCGTAATCGAACACGTGCAAGTGAAGAGTCCGATTGTGCAGCTTTTGCATTGTGAAACCTGAAACAGAAATATCGACACGGCTTAAATTTACAAACGGCATACTCGGAAGTCCTGAAAGCGTACGTACTAGCAAATTCTCGAAAACAACACTACTCGATCGTTTGATATCAATTTCAAATTTAAATACCACGACATGGATGGGCCGAATTCAAGATCCAAAAGCATGTTTTCTGGGTAAAAGGATGGACTCGGACATTTCGAAAATTACCTATTACGTCCTCGAAATTATAGAAGGACATGGGGGGGGGGGTGTGAGGGATTTGGCCCACTCATTCTTGTTTAGTCTGTAGCTCGTAAACGGCTATGACTGACAAATTCTGAATTTAACTCGCAAACCTCAATCGGTGAACGGTTTGATTTGCTAATATTAATTCAATTTTGTTTTATTGTAATTTGACTGTCAAGTTCAAGACTGTAACAATGCAAAAAAATAAGTTAAATTATTTATTACCGGAGAGTTCTTATAGGTATATCGTTTTAGAAAGAAATAACACTGTTTATAATATGCAATTCAAAAGTGCAACAAGTATGCTTATTTGAACCGATATTAAAATGTATTTACGGCAAGATGTTGACAATATAATTATGTATTATAATATTTCTATATTGAATTGTTTTGGCAATCACATTAGTCAGTAATCAGTGATAAATTTATAATAATATTTAACATTAAATTATATTAATTGATGATAATACTATTATTGTGTTATGGTGTCATTTAACATTTTAATAAATAAAATCTTGTATCTCATAAGTTATAATAGTAATATTATGTTGATACAGTCCTATAGTCTAAATGTTAGTACAATTATCCTATAGTCTATATTACTACTATTTCAAGTGATATTTAAATACAAAATATAATGTCGAGACAGAAATCAAAAAGAGCGAAATTAATGGCATCAAGCTCAATCAAAGCTGATTGTTTGCCTATTGAAGAACACAGGTAAGTATATTCTACATCTATGGTAATTACTGGACAGAATAGGGAAACGTTGAAATTAAAAGACAGGGCTTGAAACCGATTGAAAAAATGTTAGTTTTGGTTTCGATTTTGTGTACCAGGTTTTATTTTTTTCGGTTTTGGTTTCAAATTTTAAATTCCGGTATTAGGAAATTTCGTATTTGGTTTCGATTTGCATACTGGTTTCTAATTTTTCCAGTTGGTTTTGAATTCAATACAGGTTTACATTTTTTTCCAGTTTCGTTTTAGATTTTTTTTTTGATTTCAGTTTTTTAACGGTTTGTGCACTGAAATGTGCATTAAGAGTTTCGAGTACCACTAAATAATATTTACAAATTACAACGAAATAACTAAAACTGTAATTCTTTAAATTTAAAAAATGTCTATAAAAAAAAAAAATTATAAAATTAGTTTATTAATTTTTTTGGTTACAGCACAAATATACTTATGAGTAACATTGTTTTAAATTTTCAATGGTCAGCTATAAGAGTCGAATATTTTATGCATTTTAAATGCTTGAAAAAATATAAACGAAAAGAAATTATTAACAATATTATTAACTATAGAACTAAATAATTTTAAAATGTTCATGATTTTTAAGGATTTCGTCATAATTCTAAATTTAGACGCTAAAAAGACGATTGTTTTTTTTATTTTTACACCGAAAACTTAGTAGGACATTCATATTGAGTTATAACACTTAATAGTGTTTCAATCGAGCGAACAACTATATTTTATCGACAATAATTTAAAAAAAAATACTTTGATGAAATCGAAAATTACTCAGTAATATATTATAATAAGTACTCAAAAAGAGGCAAAATATTTATTCAATTTTATCATATTATGTTATCTCAATGTTTAATGAACATTCCAAATATCCATAATTTGTTTTCAGTTTTTCTCCCGACGCTTTTCAAAATGACTGGGAATTTTTTACTTTTGACCCCTCAAAGTACCGGAGAGATACACTTTCCTACTAGAAAATCCGTCAGTAGTCGAAACACATTTACTGCTTCAAAAGTCGATAAGAGATACGAAAAAAAAAACACACACAAGACCATCGTAAAACCAAAAAAAGTGCTACACTCAGAATAATCTAAAACCTATGCCAAAATTTCAAAGGGAGAATCCACGCATGCGCCTCCCTGACGTTCAACACCGCTGCAGAGTGTATAATTTCTATCGATTTTTTTTTTTGTCTTTCGCACCGGAAACGGTACACGAAAACAACATAATTAATTTCCCGCGAGTTGTCGTACAAAATATATGTTGTGCATATAATTTATATATATATATATTATATATATTATTATTGGGGCGTAACATACGTACGCATATATAAATCTGCAGAATGTATAACACATATTATATAAATATATGAGTTTTGACTGTTCGAACGCCGAGAACATAAATCATTTACAGTGCACATAATAATATATCTACGAGATGCTTGGACCCGAATCTCTGAAAAACAAAAAAAGTATTGAATTTCCTGCAACTTATTCGTAAACCATACATGGTTTTGCTTTTTACTAAAGCCGATTTCGTATAATGTTTCCAGCAACAATGGTATCTTACAATAATTATAGTCTGTTATAGTCATAAGTTAGAGATTACGGGTTAATATTGTGACTATAGCTGGTAATTTATGTCGTTTTAATCAATTGATCGAGCATTTTTTTCCAAAGTAAGTTCTGCAAACTTTTAAGTTTTAATGTACAAAACGTTTTGAGGAACATAATATATTCTGTTTTGTATATGTGTTTATGATTTCGTAAGATTGAATTTTAAGTTTTATGATTTTATTATGTGCTCTGCTACAAAAACTGTTTGTGTTTCTGTCAGAGGTGAAGGATGTGTCTTGTTGTCACCACCTCATTGGGGTATAATAGAGATTTTCTTCAATAGTTTCAGAATTGTGTTAATTTATGTTGGCATCTTAAAATAAATCTTAAAATATTCAGTTCCCAGTAAAAATAAAATTTCGGTTCTTAAAAAATTAAAAGTTGTTAAATTATTTGGTTTATCACTTATGGAAAAAAATTTGTCAAGTAAACGTATCGGTTCCGGTTTCTTAATTAATTTAAATAATGGTTAGGGCGAGGTTCCGGTATTAAAATTAATTTAAATAAGGGTTTCGGTGAGGTTTCGGTTCCCAATATACAAAGGGTTAAGATTCCTTAACCAGTTATTTAGGTTCCAGTCCCAGGTTTAAATATTAAAATAATTTACCTTTATGGAAGTATTAATATGGTATTTCAACATCTGGTTTAGAGCGAGAAGAGTGCAATGCACTTTTGTGTTATTTCTAAGAATGTAAGATTAAGGGAGAGAATAATACATTGTTCTAAGTGTTCTAGTTTTTTTTTTTTGCTAGTAAGATCGATTTGGATCTTGTGTAGCTCGTGATTTTTCAAGTGTATTTAATTTTTATCTTTTTAGTTTTCAAGATTTCGTTATTTTTTTTAAAATATTTAATTATATTATTATGATTAATTCATTTATTTTACAATCAGCATTATTTCTAAAGTACGTCAAGTTAATTTATGATTTCATTTTGTAATGTTGGTGGGTGTAGAAAATATAATAATATACTTAACAAGTTTCAACTACCCTCGAATAATGTTAATAAATATCAACAAAAAAATAAAACAATTATTCTCGGTCTAAATATCTAATATTCTTCAAATTGAAACTTAAAAAAAAATCACAAATATGAAAACTGTATTTGAAATGTTTTGAAATTTTTTTACTACACTCAGAACCTAACAAACCTTCTTCTAAAGAGATGGTTACACTAGTATAATACCTAGATGAAGAGGAGGTTTCTTGTGAAATCTTTTGTAGACACAGTTTGCTTCATCGAGTACTGTTGGTATTTTTAAGTCATTATGGAGTGTATGATTGGAAACAAAGCGAGGAGCATATGTTATTTTTCCAAGTTTAATGTTTTGGAAGGTTTGACTTTTTCGCATGTTTGATTTGTTTGCACTGCCACCCAGAACTAGAGCCCGTAGGTCGAGATGAGTTTTAGAAGGGTTGTTTATACTATCAATTTAATGTTTAGGTTAGTGTGTATATTTCCGTGTAGCAGTGAGCTTAGTGTGCGTAGGCGATTGTTTAAATGTGACCTTTTTGATTTTAAGTGTTGAGTATATTTTATTTTATTTTTATATTGCAAATTTTAGTTACTTTCCCTAATATTAGTCATACGGTGAGTTGAATAATTTTATTAGAAAAACATCGCATTTATTTTATTATTTATTTATAATTTTTACAATGTAATATGTATTTATTATTTATATAATAATGTATAATTTTTATTAACTTCTAAGTCAATCCCGACTAATTATAGTCATATTTAAACCTTTTAACTTTTAATTCCCTTGGAATATTTCTGGACTACAACAAACTGACGAAAATCGTTATTATTTGGTTAAATATTTAATTTCTTAAAATATAAACAAAATGTCTAAGAATTTTTCCAAAATATATTTTTAATTTATAGAGTTTAGATAGAACTTAATATTATCTATTGAAAACTCTAATTTTATGTGATAGCAATATTTTTGTTATGTTACAGTGATAAAAAAATGTATGTGGCATTCCAAGTTACCACACTGACGTTGAAGTCAAAACTGAATTTTAACTTTCCGGTATTATTACCAGGGACATGTTGAGCTGTCTTACCTTACATTACCGCACCTCGGTAATTTCGGTTATTACCAGTAATACCTTAGATACCCGTAGTAAACAAATACCTGATACCGGTATCAGAATTTTAAATACCGCCAGCCTATTCTACGGGGCCCCAAACACACGTCGTGGTGTTGTGTATGGTTTTGCAAGTTTCCTTTCATTAATGTCCTTTCCCCTTAAGACGAAAAAGGGAAAACAATCAGAGCAGTAGGGCGTAGAAAAAAATCCAACAAAAACCTTGACGACGTCATAACAATAATTCACATACCCTGAAAATAGAGTGTCTCGTTCCAGCGCGGGTTTAGGGTCCGGCGTTTCACTTTCGTGTCCAGCCTATGCTTTTTGTCCGGCAGCAATGTCACGCGGACGTACGG